CGGTCCCAGGTTAAACTGTGGGGGATTTCAGAGCAGCAGGAGGCCCCAGAGGTTCAGGGTCATGGCCCACCGGCGTGTGGACACGCCCTAGCCCTGTACCAACTTCTGCCCTTAACCTCCCTGGGGTTAATGGGAGGCTAGGGGAGGTGGGCCTTGCCAGTCCTCCTCCCCACAGATATAACCAATCAGCAGTGCTTTATATAAAAGGAAAGGCTGGGAGGAGGGGAAAAGACCCTCCCACCCAGCAAGACAGACTGTGGGCCCTGTTGGGAGGGCAGCTGCTGGAGCGCAGGCTGGGATCGGGAACTACTCGTCCTGCTGCGTTGGCAGCTGCCAGCCCGGAGTGAAGTTTCTGGGGGAAAGCCCTAGGGAACCCCAAAGGTGGATGATGGGGCCTGCAACCCACCACCCCCTTTTATATGGGGCAGCGTCGGTGGGGGTGGCAAAGGTGGCTTCCACCCGGAGTAACTGCCCGAGGGTGAACCTCAGGCGGGAAGTCAGGGTGGGGGCTAGGAACATCCGTTCTTTGCATCAGGATAATCGGTTACCTCTACTATCGAGGGAATTGGGGAGGCTGAGAGTTGAGGTGGCTGCTGTCTCAGAGGTGAGGAGACCTCGCAGCGGCATGACCAGTGTAGGTGGCTACACCTATTACTGGTCGGGCCGCAGCGACGACCACCATCTCCAGGGAGTAGCCATTGCCATCTCCAGCAGACTCCAGCCCTTTCAGTGGAGTTACTCCTGTCAATGAGCGTATAATGGTATTGAGACTGAAGCTAGCATTTGGTTTCATATCTCTTATTGCTGTGTATGCTCCTACCAATGTTTGTAAACTTAACGAGAAAGAGATATTCTACACCAAACTTGCATCTGTAGCAGATAGTTGTCCCTGGCGAGATATTCGAATTTTTCTGGGTGACTTAAATGCAGTATCTGGCTGTGATCGAGCTGGATATGAGATGTCTGTCGGTCTCCATGGCTCAGGAGCTGATGCCGGTAGTGAGAATAGCCTCCTTTTCTGGGATTTCCTAGGTCCCAGATTGAGGATTTTTGGCTTGTTGGAGGATCCTCCAGAACTGCAAGGTGTATAGGAGTGCTGTGTTCTGTGGTACGAAGCAATGATTGGTTGCGGCTACCCTCCGATCCACTTCAAAACTCCCCAGCGGCCCAATGATCACCCTAGGGTGTTTCATTTGGACAGGCTGAGGCAATCTCTGGTCGTTTCACAATGCTCGACAATCTGACAAACCCTGTTCTTCTGTGAGACACCTTCAAGTGCGAAACACTTGATGCAGCTCAAGAGACGATTGGTGAACGCCCGAGAGCAATACAGAATTTCATCTTATAGGAGACACTGAAAGCCACAGATGCTTGTCGTGTGGCTCATCTGATGGGATCGGTTATTGCATGTGCGCAGAACTCGGTCTCTGTTAAGAAGGGACAAGGAACAGTTTATTAGGAGTCTTACAGAGGTAGAAGGCCAATTCTTAGTAAATGACCTTCGTCCTGCATACCAAGCCCTGAGAAAGCTGAACTCCAAGCCCTCTTCACAGGTGACTGCAGTTCGCTTAGTAGGTGGCCAAATCGTCTCAGATCCTGTTGCAGTGTATTTTGAGCAGCTGTACAAGGTTGACCCACCAACAGATAACTTGAATCCGGGTAGTGCTGTGATTATGACCAACCCATCAGTGAGGATCCTCCTCCTAACTAAAGTTAGAGGGAGATCTCCAAGCAGAAGAGTGGTAAAGCAGCAGGTGTCTGCAGATACCAGCTGAACTGTTTAAGGCTGGTGGTGAACCTATGGCACGAGGGTTACATGCTGTCCTGGCTGCCATCTGGAGGCTTGGTACCGTTCCCCTTGACCTGTTGAGGGTGTGGTCATCCCTCTCTCGAAGGGGAAGGGAGACCGATGGGGACTGCAGCAACCACCGAGGCATCACACTGCTCAGTGTACATGGCAAGTTCCCCCCACATCCTTCTGAGACATATCAGAGACTACCTATTGAGGCATCAGAGGCCGGAGCAATCCGGATTCACTTCTGGTAAGTCCACAATAGACCATATTGTAACATTTAAGTTACCCCTAAAATAACAATTGCATAAATAAAGACTTTGAACAAAACAATCGTGTAAAGTGCAGTGTACACTTCAACTGAAATTTAACATTTTGTTATTTGTGTAATGTAAAAATAAAATGTTTCATAAAGACAAACAATTACATAAATTAATATTATTTATTTTACATAATCATATTGGTACTTTTACATAATCATCAGAGCTATGTAATATGTACTTTTATTCCAAAAGAAAGTTGGGTTCGATTGAATACGCTTTTTCTTGAATCCTTACAATATCCTTGTGCTTCAAGTAATTGTAGAACGCCGCCGTGAGTTCTGGTGTGGGCTGCTTGCAGCCTACATCGACCTCAAGATGTTCCTGAGATTGAGAGGAATTCCAACAAGGATTATTGGACTAATAGCAAGCCTGTATACTGGTCCTG